ACAATTAGCTATATTACTTAGTATTACTAAATATCTAAAAAGTAAATATATATAAACGATGATTTTGTAATAATATATATGCTCAACAAATTATCTTGATAAAGATCAATTTCATTTTTATTTCTTTTAAGACAAATATTGATTTTCTAGTTTATCACAGGATTGATCAATAGAAAAAAGAATCGAATTTTGAACGTTTTAGAAAAATATACCGCTTGTCTTCATTTTCTTCACTTCAAGCGTTGATAAATATATATAACACTTCTTTTTTGCATTCGAAGGTCAAAATGAAGAAAACCAAAATTGGCAATGAAAAACATCGACAAGGATTGCCGTCTTGTGTATTGTGCTGTTTAAAAACTGGTGTTTTTCTGTGGGTTATGATTTCATTCTTGCTCTTGATAGCGTATCTATCTCAAGCATATGTAAGCAATATACTCATAAAAGATTTCTCAAGTGTCTCTTTACATTGGAACCAATCGGAAGAACACTCATTTCGATACTCTCACATTTCCATGCCATGTATTGAACCACATTGTCATATTGAATGTTCTATTATGTACAAATCTAATGAACCCGACGGAATTATCCGATACACATCTTTAAACAAAACCGAACAACAACATTTGATGATTGACATGGGCCAGGATATCATAGTTCAGAAGTTGATTAATTTCATATCACTGCCGAAAGTTTGTCCTTATCGCCAAAGTTCATCTTCATCTTTAGAGAAAAGTACAAATATGACTGTTGAATTCTATCCAATAGTATTCGGATTCATTGATCAATATTTATTTGAAAGCATACCGCGTCAAGTATTATTTAACCAACAATTAAAAATAATAGACCAAATTTGTTTACCTAAAAAATCTAAAGATTTCAGTGAACTAATACCAGGACAGCTCAAAACATACAAATTTGGCTTTGAAAATGAATTAGATTATCGTCGATTATACAGTACAGCATACTTTGCAATTACTATGAAAAAAGGTGGATGGGATTGCAATAGACATTACGAAATAATATCATCAGGTACGATGCCTTTTTTTGATCAATTAAATAAAGCAGGAAATTATACATTATCACTTTTACCAAAATCAATTTTATACGAAGCACAAACGATTCCAGGTGTCATTCGTTACAATATGAGTATCAATCATCAATTATTTGATCTTAATCAATATAATATTTTATTACATCGCTTATAGTATTATGCTAAACATCGATTAACAACTGTAAAAATTGTTGAATATATTTTAAATATCATCAAATATCCAATAAAATCTTAAAAAAAACATTCTATTCTTTATATATCTCATGAGCAATTTGATTATATGAAAGATTTTATGTTACATGGTTTTACGCGTATATTTGAAGAAAATCTATATGTTTTTAAGCCACCAAAATATATGTATGAATATCCAACATCAAAAATGTGGAATCAAGAAGAAACGAAAGATTATTTCAAACATACTTTGTATGGATTTGGGTATGGTTATAAATTGGCTCTTAAAAATTATGTTCGACTATATGAACGAGATAAAAAAAATCTTCACGATGAAACTATCATAGAAAACAATATTAAAGCTAAAAATTATTCTCTTATCGTTTTTGGATCGATACTTCGTAATAACAAATTATTTTCATTAACTATAAAACATTATGAACGATCCAGAATCGTTCTCATTGATGGTGAAGATGCATCAAAACACAAAGATCGATCTGAATATGCAAAATGGGGAACCTACTTTCTTCGAGAAATACCAGACAATTGTGATGTATTTATGTAACACACAAAGGGTGTGGGTGTGGGTGTGGGTGGGTGTGGGTGTGAGTATGGGTCTTCTCTTATCTCACACCCACCCACACCCACACCCACACCCTTTAAATTAGAATTTAATGATACCACTGAAGCAGATATTTTTTCAATGGTATACGATTAAAATGACAGTAATAGTTATGAACAAAATTTATTTTACTTGCTAATTCTCAAAATATCTACTGTGAAGTTTTGTATCACTAAAAATAACAATAAACTCTTTGATACTATTTTGGTAGTACGTTACAATCCAATATGAATCGCTCTATTCATAAAAGAATCAATAATGGGAAAAAAAGCTAACCATTTATCAGAATAAAAAATGAAGCTCTGATAAAATTTCAAGTTATACGAATGAGAAGTATGAGTCAAAACATCGCTAGAAATCATCAGCTGCTATGCTACTAAAAAAGATTAATTTATTTGATCTACAGAGTTCTTATTAAGAATCTATATAGTAATTATTGGCAAATACTCGATATCTGTCATTTTGTTTTAAACAATGAATTCGATTGAAAAAGTGATGCATCTGATATAGACCAATTCGATCGTCAGTAGTCAACATTTCTCTGATATAACAATCAAATCGAGATAAATAATGGAGTCAGCTGCTCCGATCATCTATTAAATGAATAAATGACATACGATACATTGTTTGTAGATACAAGTATTCGATCTTGGAAGTATGAATAAGAAGATTGTCAATACCATTAAAAGTTACAGTCTACGCAAAAAATTCTGGAACACTAAAGAATGGTTTTCCAAAATTGTATATTGCATTCGAGTTAAACTTTATATATATATATATATATATGGTAGGTGTATTTATTTGTTAAGCTTTCATATTATACCATGCAGACACAAAACTTCTGATTTTAATATAAAAGACAAAAAGAAAAAAAAATCGCCCAGCAGAAAAAAGTTCTGATATATATGTACATGTTTATCCATAAAACCAGAATTATGTGAAAAACTAGTATTTTCCATGCCACAAAGAATTCACAAATGTATTGCATTTTTGATAATTATTATATATATCCCAGAACGTTTTTTGCTGGACAATTATTGTTCTTTTTGTTTTTTATATTAAAATCAGAAGTTTTGCGTCTGCATGGAATAATATGAAAGCTGAATGAATAAATACACTTACCATATATATAAAATTTTGGGAATCCATTGTTAAGTGTTTCAGAGTTTTTTGCATACACTGCAATTCGGTATAATTACTCCAAAGAGAGCCAGTCGTCGAAGTGCAGATGTTGTGAATATTTTAGTATCGCTGTAGAAAGTATGAACTTGAAGATTGTGACATGAAGCAAGAATAGCTAGAGTAGATATTGTTGCACTATAAAGAATTTATGCGGACAGCAGAGAAAAGGCGACGTAGTTCATGAGCTCTACAACTAAAACACAATGCCAAGTATCACATAAATTTAATATTATAATATATACAAGGTGAGATATAAATAAAAATGAACAATTTGAAAAAGTTATAAAACATCTTGAAGGAGTATTTCAAATAGTTACCAAAAGTTCATCGAAAGTAAGAAGTGATATTGGAATCGAAGTAGTTCATGTTCTAGTTGATGTAAAAATTTTCGATGAAGTCGTGAGAACCTACGAAGATGATTTTCATATAAGTAATAAATAATTTTCTCTAACATGAATTTTTTACTACATGTTTTTACTGTTCAATGAAAAGATAGTTAAAAAATATAAATAATGATAAATTCGTAATCATTATCCAAAAAATACTTCGGATACAATTTTTTGAAAGTAAATTAGAAAATACGAAATTTATCTAGTAGAAATTTCATATGATTATGAAGACCATTTACATCAATGTACTAAAAAAAAACTTTACAGAGTTGCCGATTGTTTGTGACAAGAAGAGAAAAAGAACAAGACTATATTCGACTTGAACAATTGATAACATCCGCGTCCAAGTATGCAGATGCTTGTAAAATGAATGCAAATTAATTTAAGGACAAATATGATACAATTAATGCTGAAGAATGTACATGTAAATCCAAGATATATTTATGGTTTCCAAATTTTTATTGTCATATTGAAGACATTTAAATCTATTAAAATGTTGGAGTATGTCGAGACCAGGCTAAATATAGATAAGTCAGAACGATCAACGATTCGAAAAATGAGGAAAAGCGACTGAATATGTCGAAAGAGATCTTATTACATTCATTTTGATGAGGCTTATCAATAAAGCTGGCAGTGCGTGTGCAATAAAAGATGCACTTAATGCACTAGGAGAAATGAAGCATTTCAAATACTGAAAAGTTTATTGCCACAAGAGGTAAGTTAATTGCAGTCATTCTATAAGATCTCGACTGATCAAACCTACAAGATAGTGTCTAGAATATATAATCCTTACTTTTGTTTCTTAGATTAATTTATATCCTATGGATATTGCAAACGCTGTTGCAACTCTTTTCAGATTTCCTTTTAGCAGCACATTTTATCTTTATATTCATGTTGTGTACTATTTCACTCATAGTTACGGATCGTGTATTCATGTGATTACCCTTTCAATATATTATTTGTCGTAATGAATATTGCAATTTACGATCCAAAAACCTATTCAACAAAATTGAATGTTAACAATTTATCACGTCATGTGTTTTTATGTTGCATAGACACTAAAAGACATCTTTACATTTATTTACAAAGTTCTAAATATATGTGTTTTCTATCATTGTTCTATTTTTTCTTCAACGACTTCTTCAGTAACACAGTATATTTTTCTTGTTAAATTTCATTTTTAAACCATTTTTATTTCATATATGCCAAACCTTTTATTTTATCGATTTTCCAACGTAATGTGCTATTTAATATATGTTTTTTTTTACAAATAAATGAATTGTTTCACGAACAGAAAGGTCAGTTTTATTGTTGAAAATATATATATCAGTAATTTTCATTCAACTTCCCCTATGTAGATGAAGGCGTGTCGGTTAGTTCAAGCAGAGAAGCGTTGGAGATAAATAGAACTTAGAGAAAATGACTGGAAGTCATCAGATAAATCCGGAGACATCCTAGATCAGAATACTGCTTCCATACTTCATAGATTTCAGAAGTTCTTCCGGTGAATACGATGATTTTCTTGCATCCTTCTGAGCAATTTCTTGGACATCTATTTGTTTTCAAAGTATGGATTTATCGATTTTGATATGCATAGATAATAGTAGTATTTTATTAATTCAAGGGACAGAAAATGAAAAACAATCGTAGTTTGTAATTACATACAGAAGAACACGTTTTGTTTATTTTTATTTCATATCTTTTTCTTTCTTTTTTTTTATCATGTTGTCAAAATATTCTCACATTTCAATATGTTCACATTAGATCATAATACTCATTTATATCTATCAATGTAGCTGGAGTAGATGTCATTCGACGTCGTACTCCATAACAATGTAAAGCAAATAAGAGGATCAATGTGAATGTGACTATTCGTGTAGGTATTTTCTTCGTTAGCATCCATATCCTCTTTTTCAACGTTATTCAAGTTACAAGAAACTTGATGTAATGAAAAAAGATATCCTTTTATTTATCTGTTTCGATTAGGGTATGCGTGTGGGTTTTTTCTTAACCCACAACAATCCATCAACTCTCAAATAGTCTGTGCTTCGAAAGACTTCACAAGATATAAACAGTAATAACTGTTGAAGTATTTATTAAGGGCGAGTAAATGAAGAGAAGATTCTCATCCACTCATCCTCATGACATTTATTCAGGATTATAAATATTTTTCGTGAGTAAAAAAAAATCAAAACGAAAAAATGATGGAAACCAATTAGATATTGCCTCTTAAAAACAAATAATTTCGCCAAAGTTTTGTGTGATCTGGTTTGGAATGATCTTCTTATTATGTATTCGAGCACATATGCCTTTGATCATTTTGGTAAACTTCGAAGTACATGAGTAATCTTCGCATATTTTCCCTGTAATCAAACAAAATCCACTAATAATTATTAATACAAGACCCAATCCAATAATTCCAAAATAGATGCATAACAGGATTAAATTAGATTTTCCATCAGGAAGATCCCAGACTACGCATGTTGCGCTCTCTCGTTTGTAGAAGCATGGATAGTGAATACCAATCTATGAAGTAGAACTGGTGAGACTATTTAACTTTTAGATGTAGAGATAGAATCCTATACCTGTACTTGTTTGTGCAGTGTGGTCTCGCCATAGCTTAGAAAACTACTATTAACAAGCGTTCCATTGGCAATATCATATGACATGAAGAATTGTTCATCAAAACACTGATAAATGCTACATGGCTCCTGACTACAACTTTGACATTCATGTGTGACAAATGTATAGCTTAATAAAACACAACTTGAGTTTGTAAAAGATTCACGTAAACGACGCTCTTTTACGTAACTAGAAGCTGCAATAGAGCCAAGAATTATACAAAAAATGAAGAATAGCCATAGAATGCCAAGTCCAAATACTAAAGCCCCCCGACCTATCCTGTAGCATACAGTACCACACGCCTTACTCATCTACGAATTAGATATAAATTACTTGCGATAAAGCAAATTCGTATCGACTATTTATTCACTTGATTTGTTGGAAAAAACCCAGAAGCGTCTGCAAGCAAAATGACGATAAATGATGTTACGCTTGATTGAGACGCGATGCACTCGATACGAGCAAAAAAAAAGATATGGCTTGCTTTAAGCCGTTTGTAACGATGACGGAGTGATCCAAAATTAAAAATAAATACAATGAAAGAGAATACATTTTTTTTAATATAAATCAGTAGAAAAATATGTGCTGCATCGAATAATACGAAAATTATTCAGTGATTTTAAAAATTAGTGAAGTAATATACGTTCGTTTGACAGTAAATGAATTTGTCCATATAAAAAGGACTGTTCTTGAAAAAAAATGAAATGAAAAATGTTTTTAATAATGATTGACTATGTATAATGCATAGAAAAGGCAATAGTTTTAGTAAATGGATGTTTTTATTGTCTAAACTGGAACATTTATATGTAATTCTGTCACAAAAAATGCTCTTTATCAATCAAACAGTATTCATCTCGATGTTCACATTTTTAAAATTTATAAGGACTCAGATATTAAATTTCTAAAATAATTTTCTCTTCTTATTAGAAAACCTTTTTTAGCTTATCATTCTTATGAGAAACAGTGTTCCTAATAAAAAAACAAACAAATCAAATTACTGTCAATCAAACAGTGATTACTCGATTAATATTCAAGATCATTGAATGATTTCTGCATCGTTCGATTCAACGCATATTTCTCTACTCAATCGTATAGAAAAACTTATAAATTTCTTTAGAAGCTGTTTGGAAAAAAAGGAAGATTTTCACATATTCGAGAAAACTGTTCCAATTAGAAATATTGTCTCTATTTGTTTAAAGTCTTTTATCTATTCTCATGTTTTCTTCAATTAATTCTTTAGAAAAACAACTCTATACTTCTGCTGTGAGATAAGCAAGTTTTCTTCCGATCAATTTTTATTTTTTGTGTCGAATGCGTCACGTCGTACTCAAGCGTAATATCATTTAAGGTCATTTTTCTCGCACATAAGCCTGGTTTTTTCCAACCAATTAAATGAATAAGTAGTCGACATGAAGTTGGTTTACACCAAGTGATATATATTAAAATCGTAGATGAGTAAGGTATGTAGCACACTATGCTATCGGATAGGGCGTATAACTTTGCTTTTTGGATTTATCATTCTATGCTGCTTATCGTTTACTGTTATTATTGTGGGCTCTACTGCAGCCTCCGACTATGTAAAAGAGCATCGGATCCGCGAGCTTTATACAAATACAAGTTGTCTTTTGATAAACTATACATTTGTCACACATGAATGTCAAAGTTGTGATGAATATTTATGTTCCACTTATCAGTGTTTTGATGAACAATTTCTCATGTCATATGCTATTTTCAATGAGACGCTTGTTAATAGTAGTCTTCTTAACTATGGCAATACCAGACAACAGAAACAAGTACTGGTATAGGATTTTATCTCTGCATCTATAAATTAAATAGTCTCACTAGTTCTGCTTCATAGGTTGATATTCACTATCCATGCTTCTACAAATGGAAGAATATAACATCACCAGTCTAGTACGTTCCTGATGAATAATCTAATTTAATCTTGCTATGCGTCTATTTTGGAATGGTTGCATTTAGTCTTGTATCGATAATTGTCGATGTATTTTGTTGGATGACGAGAAAAAAGTGCGAATGTTGCTCATGTATGTCGAAGTTAATCGAAATGATCAAAAGCATATATGCTTGAATACAAACCGAGAAGACTATTCCAAACCAGATCACACAAAACTTGGGCGAAACTATTTATTTTTAAGAGGCAATATTTAATTGGCGTTCATCATTTTGATCTTTTTTACTCACGAAAAATATTTATAATCCTGAATAAATATTATGAAAATAATAAACTAGAAAAAGTATTAATCTTCATAGAAAATCCAGCGTGTCATTGGAATTAGTTTGAATGATTATAGTAAAAATTCTCTAATGGAAACATTCAAGAGAATTTTCAAGTTTTCATTATCCAATTGCGTCATTTATATCTGTGTATGAGAGCATGTAAGATTAAAAGCAAAACAAAATACGTTCACTGTAAGAAAGTGATCACTAAAAAGCGGTTGATTGCGAGTAAAAATTTCTCGTCGGAAATTCAGTGTACAAGATAATGAGGTTATTACATTATAGAGATGTTTACAATGGATACTTGTAAAAACTGCGAAACGAACAACATATAGACATTGCCTCGACTGTGTGTACAAGTTTTCTGTGACTCAATACTGACATCCACACCAACACCTACCAACAAAAAACAATATAAGAAAAAAAAGGAAACAAGAAGAAAAGTCTTTTGTCTTTATACGACGAGAGCCATGTAGGTCGCCACTAACATTAAACTAAGACTTTCATCAGGGTGTGGATGTGATTCAAGAACAAATGGAGACCCCCACCCACCCTCCACGACGGCATCTACTCACATTCACATCCTGCTTTTACAAATTGGTCTCGATTTCCTACATACAAGATTGGTTTTGGTCATGATTCACCAAAACGTGTGTTTTTTCCATCGGACAAAAGACAGAATGGTATGATCACCATTCTAACACTAGTGGTGAAGACGCCGAGGTCAAACTTTGTATGATATTTGACAAAAGGTATGCAGAAGAGTTGCTAAACATGCTGACATAACGGCTCGTGTTTTGTATCTTTTCAACTTTCTAGACTGAGTGTGGAAAAGTTTTTTTTTCAAATGAACGCTGTAAATAGAAATGATATTGAAACGTGTGGGTGCGAAAATATAAATCATACATATCCTCATAGTCACAACCGTACTGTATTATTCACATGTTCTTATTGCTTTGACATATTGTGGCACTTAGATTTATTAAATACTGTAGAGATGATAACTTTTTAAAAGATTTCTTGATAGATAAGTTGTTCGAATGCAATCCATTCACTAATCGAAACTGAGCAGTTTTTGTATATTTCCGCCACAGCATAAAGTTTATGGCAAGTGGAGATCGAACAGAATTACTAGGACCTAAGAAGTCCCCTTAATTTTCACAATGGATATGGAAATTAGAATGAGTGAATCCTGTGAGAAATACCTATGATGAAAATTTTCGTTCGATATGTTAAACTTGAAATAACTTTCGACTGAATAAAAGTTTATGTATGACTTTCACGAGAACCATTTGCAAGAACTACAGAGTTGAAACCAATTTCAAATTAAAATTAATCCTTTTGTCCGCGCAGTTGTTTATCTAACAGAACTTTGATATTACTTGATTGTTGTCAGGAGTTAGAAGCGAATTCGAGAGTTATTTTCATTTAAATTCTGAATAAAATGGCCTATAGATAATGTATTCCAGGAGATTCTTCATCGATATAGCAATCGATTGCAGATCATAACAGTCTAGCTATGTTTTATTCTTGTTTAAATAAAATATTCATTTTATATGACCCATGGTCATCGGTATGTTTTTTCTTATTTTGAAAACTAAAACAATCTTTTTAAAAAAGTGAAATATTTTTTAATTTGATTAAATCAAATGTCATAGAAATTGAATTATGCATATTTTTGATTTTTTGCCGATGGTGAACTAAAATAAAGGAAAAAAAAATCAACTATAAAGTTAATGTAACATAAAATACTGCTGATAAGAAAAAAAAACATGACAAATTACCTTGTACGTTCATGATGCTCTTTTTCGAATGATCGTTTACTTTGTACTGAAGATTGACTCATACAATCAACTATTAAATTATCGTTTAATGGTGATGAAGAGCTAATATTTTCTTCATAAGTAAATGCTAGAAGTAAAATTCATATTGAATATATATGTTGGAATATAAGCTAAACAAAAACTTGCTATCAATCTGTAGTTCGGATAAAACAGTTGATCTAGGATATGGAACAACATTATTGTCTGTTTTATCACATAGTTGTAAGCATACACGAAAACAATTCATGACAGGACTATCGAATGTTACCGTTCGAACCGCTAACAATTCAAATAGAGATTAACAAAAATCTTTCATAGGAAATTCAACGTACTTGAATTATGAGAAGATAATAAAGCCGATTGTGTTCGATTTGATGTAGAATCGATTCCATGTGCATCATTAGTAACTTTAGTAATGATGGCCGTAAAACTAGAAAAACAAAATCTACATATATTAAAGGTGAAAATAATTAGATTAAAATTTTTTTTTAAATCTAGATTATTTGGTTTTGACGAGAGAATCAAATTACAGATATACTTACGTAATATCATATTGACCAACATCAATAAATATTGAGTCAACTTGTTGTTGTTCACAAATAAACTTATAGCTTGAATGAATGTTTGACTCTTCTTCATTTCCAGTAAATAGTTTAGCTTCTAAACATTTATTTTTCAATTGTGTACATTGATATGATGGTGGAATCTTTTAAAGACAAAAATAGTACCGATGAAATAAAATAGATTATGATAACCTACAGTACATGATACTTGTAAATAAAATTGATTGATATTTGCAAGTGATGGACTTGTTGATAATATTACTTGTGTAATTTGTAATTTATTTGGACTGTAATCAAACTGACTCACTGGAGTTTTAGAATCAACTACAGACAAAATAGATATCGTATACAAGATAATATACGAATTTGATTTCTTTTTCTACCGGGTCTAAAACCATTCGAACAAAATAAATTTCCAGATTCTAGTACAAAACTATTTTTATCAGGATCCCAATGTTTACGACGAACAATTAAATATCCAGTGTATACATTAAGATACTTGGCCAATTTAGTAGGCGTTATTATTTCTGTGTTTCTATTCTTTTTATTCATATTTATTCCCAATGATGATAAAAATTGATGATTAACTTCAACCATTGTACCTATCAATGGAATAAATATTTACATGTATGTTCAAATTTTTCAAACATATATATATTTTATACCACAAGGAAATTTTTTAATTCGACATATTTTACGGCCTTGTTTATCACTAGATTCAAAGATATCATTTTTTATTTTGCAAATAATTATATTCAAACTAAAATGAAGTCAAATAAACTTCACCGATTCTTACATGTAAATATTTGCTTACGGAAAATAGCCATTATCATCAATCAAATCCTTTGTTAAATGAAAAACAGTCGGATTTTTGAATTTAAAATCGTTGCCAACTTCAAGAACAAATTCAAACGGACCATAATAAAGTTGTCCCCTAGGATCTTTGAAAACGATCGCACATTCAACTTGAAAGTCGACCAATGATGAAGCCGGCTAAAAAAAGAGCTCGAAAATCAATCATTATCAATATATCAACTTACACCAAAATATAATGATCCATTGTCCAAACAATCCTTCAATCTTGGAATACCTTTCATTTTGTGCGACTCAAACTCGTTTTTCGTACGGACACGAAATACGTTCGAAATCGGATGCTTTGTGATTAGTGGCTGATCAACATCTAATGTAATGACAAGAAGAATCAAGATGATTTATTATCTTAGGATTATGGAATTTTTTAAGATTAAATAAAACCTTGATTTACTTACGTCCAAGAAATTAAATTAATTTTATTATTATTATTTTTTTGTTTTGATACTTTTCAACGTTATAACTATACATTGGTACACGGACATGAGAGTGAGGATATGGTTTAAGTTCGATTGGAATATATACTTTATAATCCTTGTGTATTACTTCAAAGTGACATCCATGAATATTCATTAACACTCTTATATTTGCATTTTTATTTAGCCGCTTTGAATCGGTTAATTCGATTCGAGAATTAATTTTTCTCCATGAAAAAAAATCTTAGTAAAGCGACGTTATCCTGCCATATAGACTAGACTGAAGCTAAAAAAGCTCAAGTCAATACAGCGTCGCAATGAAGAAAAAGTGCATAGGATGAGGTTAAGAGAATTTAAGAAAAAACATTTATCTTGGAAGCTTCTAATCAAAACTATCATCTAGATATAAAATGAAGTCTTTTAAATCAAAATTATTATAAACATACTTTCAACTTGATCATTTGTTGTTGTTGTTGCTGAGCTTGGTTCATTGCTGAGTAATGAATCAGCTAGAGGTTCAGTAAGTTGTTCATTGTTATTGGATACACCATTTTGTATACTATAACAATCATCTAACAATTTAAAACATAATTGATCAACTTTATTCGCCAAGTCTTTTTCATTTTTCACAGCAACAAAATTATGTATATTTCCCAACGAAGGTATTGACAATACATGAGGATTTTCTGTAGATCAAAGAAAAAAATAACAGAAGTAAAAATAAATTATCAAATAGAATTAATCTTATTTGCTAAAGTTTATATAGACTTCTATTAAAAACTAGTATATTCGTGACATTAGTACACTCACTATATTTTGATTGGACGCCAGTTCTATTGAAGAAAACCAAACGAAGAAAATTTGATTGATTTGCAAGCGCATTTAAGCGTGTCTGTAGTTTTGGCGAGCCGCGAAAAATATCAATCATTGAAGTTTACTTTAATAATTAAGCAAGCATTGTTTTTTTCTTTCTATTCTTATCTGATATGAATAAATGTAAAATGACTTCAATCATGAATCATTAATGCTGTTTATTGAGACTAAGAAATTCTTTTAAACATTTTTCAATCTAACATATCAATGTTTCAAAAGCTTTCATTTGACTTACCATCTTCTGAGTAGGAAACGATTTCCTTATTTTTATTGTTTATTCTAAAAAAAAAAGTATAAATTCTTAAGTATTATATTTTGGTATTACATAGTAATAAACATTTACATGATATTTGTCGCCATTGATAAATATAAAGAAAAACCTGCCACATGGCTTTATTATAAAGGTAACTTTTTAACTGGAAAAGTAGGCTTCAAACGCAACTTGTTTTATTTTTTCGCTCTTGTTTTTCTTTGAATGTCACATCACCTACACAATGTGACGCTAGCATTTTACACCAAGAAAAAAAAGGTAAACATGCCTTGTTTTTTGTGTCACACGCGAATTTGAAGTGAATAACGAAGTTACAGAATCTTTTTAATAGAAATGATGGTTTGTTTTACCAGGTAAATTTAATAAACAATTAATCAAACAAAACAACAAAATGTCTGTAGCATGCGGTGAATCTGATTTCAAAGAATTGTTTCATTTGATAGAAATATTTACTCAACGTTGACTTTTGATACGTGTGTTAGTCACTTGAACACCAGAGACAATTCTTAAGCTATGTTTGACTTTTATCTACCTCCAGAGTTGTTCTATTAAACCAGATATCTATGTTTGGCTCATTGTTTCGGGTTTTCGGACATTAATTCTTCTTACGGTTTGGTTATAAGTCATCAGTACCACTAGTATGATTCATCAATGATTGTGCAATGCGTTACAGTTTGTGTGATTGTGATCAAATAGTATTTTTTTACGATTAAAACGAATATTTTAGTTCGAATAGATGTTTTCTGAAAAACATTTATGAATTTTGGATATATGTTAATAGTTACAGACTATAAACAGTGTATATGGATGCAGGGAATGTCTGACACCTAGGATTTTAATGCAAAGTCAATATAGAGCAATATTTTTATGACATTCTTCACTATGCTGACAAGAGAACTACATCAAGTGAAAAAACCATCGTCTGAGCTCATATTGGACGCAGAAGAAGGTCTCAATGAGACTACCAAAAGCCTAAAAGAGTTCGTTCTCATGGATCTTTAGGATCTAGTTATGACCAGTTTACAAGTTGGATGACTCTGATAATATCCTGAATATTTCAGTCGAAAAGGATATTAATTCGTCGAAATGATCAATTTTCGAAAAATATCTCTTTGACTTTGATAAAGACATGTCAGAAAAATGAAGTTCACTTGAAAATTCAATAACTCGGCGAAAACTTTGAAGATAATCTAAAGTTCAATACATATATTTATGAACATTGGTATGAATCGAAACTATACATTATTTAATTTTTCGAGAATTACTTTTAAAAAAAGTGAATCGAAAATTGAGTTAACTGGTCATCACTCGATGTCAAATGTCCATGGGCACGAACTGTTTTAGGCTTTTGCTGGTCTCTCCAAGATGTGACTATGGGTGCAACATGAGCTCAAATAGTTGTTTTCAGTTGGAGTAGTTCTTTCGTAAGCATATACATTATTTCTATTTCTATTCTATATGGTATCAGTTCATTCGAAACTATGGTACCTGTTGTAAAAATCGACGACATTCGAGATTTGCAATTCCTCTGCTCTATGGTACCACTCTTCCATTAACATTAATACATTAGTTTATCGTAATATTGGTACGCATTGTTAATGAATACATAACGAGTTGCTCCGCGTATAACTTTGTATCATCGCAAAATCCGACAAAAAGATTTCGACAAGACAACAATGCAGAAGAATTTTTCGCATGGCAATTCGACTTGCCATATGGAAATGTCACTGTTTTCTCTTGAGTTTTATTTTTCAGATTTCCAGACATCGTATTAGTCTTTATGAGATTAATTAGATCTTTTTTCACTTGTATCGAACTGCAATAAGTAAATGATATTGATTTTGCTTGAAAGAATGATAAAAAAGAGCAATTTTTTTTCCTGACAATAAAAGTTTTCTTTATGATATAATTGTTGTTGCATTACTTCTGTTTTAGGTCACAGCATGGATAGGAAGTACGATAGAAACTATTCAAAGAAATGATTTATCACAATCGTCAATGTATTGCCATCTGCATCTCTATTTCTTTTCGGATGGATTTACAGCTTTTTATTTCGTCATATATGTGACATTCTTTTCAATTATGACTGTGA